GTACTAAGCACATTGAACTTGATGTTCATTTTATCAGAGACAGAATACAGAAAGGTCTTCTAGCAGTGCAACATGTTCCTTCTTCAGATCAATTGGCTGATATTCTAACTAAGCCTTTAAGTCATCAATCCTTCTCTCGGCTCAGACAATCCCTTGGTGTTATTAGTCTTAGCTCGTTTGGATTGAGGGGGCCTGTTAAAGTTCATGCATGATCCATGCACACGTTCATGGACAGTTATTATTATTTTAGCAGAATAGATTAATTTCTTTAGTTGGTTGGTTACATGCTTGTAGTGGTTCTAGGTAGTTTCTAATTCAGTTATTAGATGTAGGTTTCCTATATATATGTAAGCTCCTCATAACTCAGTGGCCATGATCGAGCATTTTCAATATTCAGAAATTATATCAAACACAATGTTGATTGAAATGCTTTTCTTTCTTTTCAATCATGTTTCTTTGTTTTTCTATCAAGGAATTGGTATGCAATTTTTATTTATTTTCTTCTGAATCTTGTCATCCTTCCAAATTCACAGATGGCGGCCATCCGAGAAACAGTCGCGAGATCTGTGAGCGTGGGTTGAACGATGGCTCCAAAACGATTGGAGGGCGGCGAGAATTGGTCGCGTCCCCAGTTGCAAGACTATTCGTTGTCTAAGGTGAGTTGGTGTCTAGGTTACAAATTTGGGGAAAATTATCACTTCTCTGTTGTACTAATTGCTTTGTAAAATTGAGAATTTTTCTGTGAATTTAGGCCCGCTCTTGGCCCTAGATGCATATCTATTTGTCTATCTATGTGGATCTTGCATGTATTAAGACATGTCAGAAGAAAGTTTTCCGTAATGTGCCAACTTGTAGGCTTCTTTTATCATTACCTGGAATTTAGGAGTTGTGAAAATATCCTTACCTGGGTCGCAATATCACTATGCTTCCTTTTTCTTGGTAGTATGGTTGTAGATTGTGTTACCTTCATTTTGTTGATGTATCTTGTGTTACCTGGTTCTTTTATGAATATACTATGTTTTAGTGATTGGAGTTTATTTCTGTAAAATGGAAATAGGATTAAGTCTGGACAAGTATATATATTAAGATGTAGGGGAAAAAACACAAGTTTCTTATCAGTTTATGAGGACTTCATATAATATTTTACCTTACTAAGTTAGGAAGAGTATCTTTAATGACCAAATTGAGATGCACGAAGGGATTGTTAAGTTCCCTATATATATTTACAAAAAAAGTAAGTTCATTAAGTTAGAATAGTAAATTTCAAGATCTTGGGTCTGATGAAAATTGTTTTTTCCTATATAAATTTTCATTTTGTTGCTTTGGAACTGTACAAAACTGGTTTCTAGAGTGAGTTATAAGTTGTAAGTTACAACATATAAATATATTGATCTCACTCACAGTTATCCATCAAATGGAACTCATTCATAATTCGAAAATTAGCTTTAAATCCTTCAGAATCTAGTTTGACTTTACATAATGCAATGCATTAAAATTAACATACACAGATAAATTTCAATTTAACCATCCCTAAAGAGAAAAAAAAAGTTGTAATTTATAATAATAGGAAACGCTTTTGTATATGTGAATATAAAAAGAATTTTATAAATGAATGGTGTAATAAGAAAAAATAACAATAATAATAAAACTCGTCAATATTTATTAACTTTTAAAAAGGAACATGGTCTATTTCCATTGTCCATGGTCTATTTCCATTGTCCCTCAATCTTACATATATCTTACTCTTCCTCCTCCTTCATAATTCCCTTCACTTTCTTATCTTTTCCACAAGCAGACAATTTATCACTAAGCCTCTTCTTTTATTTCTTCCCAGTGTCATAGAAAAACTAAAGTCCAATTATTGAAGGTTGATTGCATTGGATATATATATATACATAAAATTTATTATATATTTTGAATGTAGATATGTTATATACTTATTGCCTTTTCATTTTTCTTTGCAGGTGTAACAACGAAAGAAGTTACTTGAATGTGAGAGTAAAAAACCAAAAAAGTTACTTTTCATTTTACAAAAACTGAAATTTTGGTTGAATGTTCACTGGTGTGGTGTCAGGGTAAAAAAGAAAGAGTTACTTGAATGTTGATGTTGACTGCTTTTAATGTATATACATACTTTTGATGTACTTATATACATAAATCAGATTATTGATTTGTTTAATTTTACTTTAGTAATTAATTAATATTGGAGTTCTCAATTTCATACAACAATGTTAGACTAATTTATGATAGATATTTAATATAGATTGAGCGGGAAAAGAAGTTTATTCCAGCTGCTTCAGTTTAATATATATATAGACTT